TTAGTGGGCAGTCCCCTCCCAGCTCTGCTCGCTGCACTGAGACATGTCCTGTACAGAAAATACACATTTATTGTGCTCTGCTTTGTCCTTCTTCTTTCTTCTTTTCAGATTTGTTCAATAAATGTAAAGGTGATTTGATTGAAGTCAGAGATGGCACCTTGAAAACTCATCCAAACCTGTTAGAAAATTTAGTCTTCTTTGTTGAGGTATTTTGATTTTTTCTTTTGGAAACCAGAAATTTTGGAGGGGTGGGGTAGAAATGTTGGGACTGAAACACAGGGAAAGTTTGATCTCAGTCACTCACGAGAGCAGAGATTTTGTTGCATATTCCATCTGTTGTGAGTCTTACCGGTAGGAACACTGAAATGAGTTGAGCAGCCTCCTGTAAATGCAACTTGTAACACGTTTGTACCTTTTTTCCAGACGATCTCCATTGCCCTGTGGGTATCGAGTTACTGTGACAGTGTCCTCCGACCCTTTAAATCCAACCTGCAGAAAAAGAAGAAGAAAAAAAAAGAAAGCAGCGTAGCAATGGTACAGACCAACAATTCCTCTCTTTCCTCCCCCACCCCCAGTCACAGCTTATTTACACTGAAAGAAAAATCAGCACAGATAACATGAGCATGAACTGCTTTTCAGAACCTCTGCCCTGTGGGGGTGATGTGGGGTAAAGGTGACTCAGGGCTGATTTTCAAAAGCGCTGTTTGAAATGGGGTGGGGATGTGGCACGTGTGACATCATGGGATGGCTTTTTAGTGGGAAACACTGAAGTTTGGGGTGTCACAGACCTTGAATGCACTGCATTAAACTTGTTAGCTGGGAATGTTTATCTGGGGAGCTAAAATACAGTTTGGCCTTGGGGAGAAGGGATAGAATGATGGTACAATGTGAGTTGTCAGATAGAATGGACGTTAATATGTGTTTATAAATTAAAGATACGTATTTGTTTTTATAGCCACCTGTATTTACCCACTTCCTGGATTATGTAACTGAACTACAGACATTAACTTCCAATGTCATAGATCATATCAAAGGGCTTGAAATAATTCTGACTGCACTAAAACTTGAAGAGCTGTCCCTCAAGGACACTCTGCATTTACAGGTAAGAGATTCCCTTTGTAACCACCGTGGTCCTCACAAATTTCTTGTCAGTGTTTGAGATGGTGGATGAAGTTTAAAGGGGGGGATTTAAACAGTTGCTGTGGAGTGAATTCATTTATTTCTCTTTTGCATTTTGCAGGAAGAAAAAAAGTTTACAAAGACTGTACAAGGGAAGGTCCAGAGCAGTTACCATCACTCAGTTCAGGAAATTGGGGAGCTGCTGAAAAAGAGACTCGATACCATTAAAAAACTAAAGATTTGAGAAAGTCATCCTTGACAGACTCCACAGGGGAGTGACACCAGAGTCCCAGACAGAAGCAACATCCACTACACCATCACTTTAATCCAGAACTTCCTCATAATGCATGAAGGACTTTTAAAATCATGAAACAATTTTTTTTAGGTATTACAGATGTATTGAGCTGATTTAAATTATTGTACAGAAATGAGAAGCAGGGACCCTTCACCGGGGTTTGACCACTTTTTATACATGTTCATAAGCATATTGCAACAGGAGAAAATTAACTTTCTTCCCTTCTGATCTCTAGAAACAACTGGAGATGGTCTTTAGAAGCAGCAATAGAAATCCAGTGTAAAGCATCTTTCTCCAAGGAGTTGTATTTTCATCACCATGCAGTGTTTATAATTTTTGTATGGTCCTTGCCTTAGAAATGCAGGAGTTGTAGATGTTCACCTTCAGCCGCCTCTAACGACACGAGCCTGGTTTGGAGCTGCCTGTGTTGTCTGCAGAGCACCTGGTCCTGCTGAAAGAATTCCACGTGCTGGGCCATCAGGGAGAGAGGTGAGGCCACCTGGGAGAAACTCCCTGGGCTGGGACTCAGCTGGTTCCTCTGAGGGGAGAGCAGAGGGAGGAGGTGCCAGTGCACACCCTGTTCTCACATCAGAAAACCTGCAGATGTGACGAGGAGCAAACTTAGAGGGAGGTGGGAATGGGCATTGCAGCAAAAAATAGACAAACCCAGAGACCTTGTATATAATAACACGTGCAGTGAAGTCCAACACTGCTGATATCATGTCAGTTTAATGTAAAACAGCAACAGTCATGACTTTTAAAAAGTGTATTTAGATTACTGAAACTTTAAGACTTCGATATTTTAATAGAAATGAAATCCTGTTGGCTTTGGTTTTAAGTTGGCAGAGGTGACTTTTGCTTCCTCTGTGGAATGAGGCTGAGAGCCCTTTTTGCACCTGTAGCTTGCTTTTTGCAGTTGAACTTGGATTATTCCAGTGCTGGCTCAGTAAGCTTTCTGTTAGAAGGTGTGATCATGTCATCTGCTCCCACAGAATCTGCATTTCTGCTGGGTTTTTTTCATCTTAAAGGAGCAATGCAGCCTAAAAGTGATAGGCAAAAAAAAAAGTTCATGTACCTGCAAAATAAGGGACAGGTCAGACTCCACAGATTCCTCATCTGATTTAAAGCAGCAGGTATCCAAGGTCTAGATTTAAAGTTTTGAGAGAGCTGACTGCCTTTTGTCATCTCTTCTGTTTTGTTAGCAATGCTAGAATGTTGATGAGACTATTTTTTTAATAAATCCCCTCTATTAAAAAAAAAAAAAAAAAGACCCATAGCTGCTCTTGCTGGATTTAGTTTTGCTTTGCCCCACCCTGAAAGGGAAAGGAATGTCTGCAGGTTGTCAAATTGTCATGGATGTCCTGATGGTTTACTCAAGATGTCTGGTAAGTGCTCTGGGCTGGAGGAATACCAAAATGTGTTCAGTCTGTTTCATAGTAATACTTTTCTGGAAAAAGGAAAAAAAAAAAAGAAAAGGAAAAAAAAAGAAAACCGAACTCTTATATGTTGTATAGAAATATCTTTTCTGAAAGAAGGGTGTGCTCCTTAAACTGAAGCAAGGTTGGTGAGTGAAGTTGGTGCTTTCAGATGTGCAGGGTGAGTGCAAAGTGGTGCCAGTTCAGAGCAGCCCTGAGCCAAAACCAGGCACTGCCCTTCTCAGCACGGGGGCAAAGTGTCCCTGCTGCTGTCCCTGTGCCCTCCCTCCCCAGGCTGTGCTAATTCCAGAGGCTTGGCACAAACACCAGCACTGAATGCAAGGATGTCCCAGCGCCTTCAGGCAGAGGGGCCGGTCCAGGGGCCGACCCATCCTGGACTCTCCTTCCGCTGCTGCTGCCCCAGGTTGAACTCGGCCGGTTGTGTCAGTGAGCAGCGGTGACAGCGTGAGTGAAGTGTGAGGTAACGCCACCGAGTTTTAAATCCTGCTGTGGGCTGAAAGCAGAACTTGGGTTAAAAAAAGGTTTTCTGCATCAGCTCCCTGGAAAGCAGAATTGAAACTGCTGTGGGGACACGTGTTCAGCTGGGAGGAGATGGAACCATGGCTCGCTCCCCAGCCCAGCGCTGGCAGCACAGGGGGAACAGTGACTGTCTCAGTGTTACCTGCTCTCCTCTTCCCAGTTCCAGCCACTGCTGAGTGATAACCTTGTCAAACAGACTTTTTGGATTACTCAGTGTTTTCTAAAATCAGATGCCATCCCTTCCCAAGCTGCAGTTTCTCTTTAGGAGGAAGTGGTGTACAAAAGTGACTCTGTACTGACTGACTGGGGGCTTGGTTGAGGGAGAATTTCTCTCCCCTTATAAATTGTGTACAGTTAAATATATTATATATTTCTTACGAAAGAGCATTTCCCCTCCAGAATGTGTCCCACAGGGACCTGATAAGAAATTCAAGCTATAACCCATTGCTGCTGTTCCCTTTCTTCCACCCTTAGGGTTTGTTTTCGTTTGTTTGGGATTTTTTTTCTTTTTGGGTGATGAATTGAAAAACATACCTAAAGAAGCTACCAAGACTACTGTTTACAGACTGAAAAAATACTGCTTTTGTACTACTGGGATCATGAGCCACGATCCTTTTACAGATTTCCTCAACTCCTCTCGGCTTAAAATCAGTGTCTGATGTAGATAAAAGGTTGGAAATCTCCTACCCTGCTCTGTCTACACACAGGACAAACTGTACGATGCTTGTTTGTGTTGCCCATCATTTTTGTACTTTTTAACTGTTCAAAAATTGCATTTATATTTTGCAATCCTTGATAATCATGACTTTATTTTAACCGCTAGTAAACTTTAGGGATTTTTTTTGTTGTTGTTGTATTTGCAGCCTTATCTGAACTTTCTCTTCCTCGATTCCTGTTAATTTATGACTGTAGGAGATGTGTACGCCTCGGCCTTCTACGGACTTAAGTGACACAACTGCAACTGAACTGCTTTAAACTGGATGGGTTTATAATTTATATAAAAGTCAGTTTCGTTACAAATCAGTATTGCTGCCTCTCATTTTTCTGTCTGGATGCAATCAAAGTGCCCATCTACACTATGTTTGTAAGCCGTGGGGTGAAGCCACATTGTGCTGGTGCAGGACATGCAGGAGATCGAATTACCTGCAAAGAGGGGGTTGATCCTCTGTGCTGAGTGATGTTTGCCGGGGGCGGGGGCTGGGATGTGCCAGTGCGCTGACATGACGATCTGTCAGCCTGCTGCTCCTCACGCTTTGTGCATCGCTGGCTGAAATGCAAGCAGCTCTTTCGGTACAGGACATTTCCCCGGTTATAACACACACAAACCCGTGTCTGAGAGGGCGATGGCAGTGCCCGCCCTCCACAGAGATGCGCACACCCTCCCTGCTCATCAGCGGCCAGATCCTGCCTCCTGCCTTTCCCTGCCTTCCTCTCCTGTGGAATTGCTGCTGGGAGCCGCTCGCTCGTCCTTATTCCGCCGCAGCATCCCCGTCCCCGCGGGCTGTCCCGGGGGAGCGGGGCGGCCCGTGGGAGGTGCCCGTGGGAGGTGCCCGTGGGAGGTGCCCGCGGTCCCGCCCGGCGCCGCTCCCCCGGTGCCCGCGGGGCGGGGCGAGCCCCCGGCGCGGCCGTCGCGCCGTCACGTGTCCGTGTCCCGGCGCTCGGCTCGCTGCGCTCCGCCATGGCTGCGGCGGCGGCCGCGGGCTCGGTGCTGCTGCTCCTGCTCGGGCTGGCGCTGCCCGGCGGCAGCACGCTGCACACCAAGGGCTCCGTGCCGCTCGACACCGTCACCTTCTACAAGGTACGGCCCGCGGGCGCCGCCGCGCACGGCGGAGCGGGAGAGAGGGAGGGAGGGCGGAGGGCGGGGGCCGCGTGTCCCGCTCCCCGCGGGTGCTGCGGAGGGTCCGGGGCGCGGCGGGGCCGCCGAGCGGGGCCGGGGCCGCCGACACCGCGCGGGGAGCGCGGGGCGCCCGCGGAGCGGCCGCGCTGCGCCGCAGCCAATGGGAGCGCGGCACCCGCGGCCGGTAGCCAATGGGAGCGCGACGCCCGCGGCCGGCAGCCAATGGGAGCGCGGCGGGCGCGGCCGGCAGCCAATCGGCGCGGTCCAAGTGGAGCCGAGCCGCGCGGTTCGGGGGTCCGGCCCGGCCCGCGGGGCAGGGAAGGTCCGGCCCGAGGCACCGGCGGAGGGGGAAGGAAAGTCCGGCCATCGCCTCCCCGCCTGCCCCCCGAGCTCCGGGCAGCGAGCAAAGAGCCGCCGTGGGCCGGCCGAGCTGCCCGTGCAGCTGAGCGAGAGAGCAGCGAGTCGGGGCCGTGAGCGCTCCCCGCTTGGGTGGCTTCGCTTTTGTTCGTGGAACAGAAAGCAACAGGGTTCCGAGGGGTTGGGTTTTTTTTTTTTACTCCACTAAATCACTTTGCAAGGGAGGCGTTTTCCCAGGGCCATGTGCGCTTCCCACAGGCCCGAGACGGAGCCTTCAGCCACCTGTGCGCGCAGGTGTTGTGTCAGTGCCTCAGCAGAGCGCTGTGTGGGTGGGGAGCTGTGCTGCAACCCCAACCTGTTCCTTGCAACCAGAAGATTTTGCAAGGTCTTCTGCTGAAGGGAGGGGAAAACCTCCAGCGGGGCGAGAGATTCCATTTCCGAGCTCATTGGAGAAGACATCACCCGAGCAGAGCAAGATTGGAGCGAAGTGGAATCGATTAAATCATGAATTCTCCATTTCCTGAGCCAGTACAACACCTCCTCTGCCTTCCTGTGCCTCCTCTCCTAGCTCAGAGTGCAGCTCTCGTGCTGGGACATTTGGCCTCTCTCCTCTTCATGGCCCACTGGAAATCATTGAGCTGATTTCCTTCCAAGTTGCCAGTCAGATTTACAAGCAGATCTCATAATTAAAGGCATTATCAGCTCCTCCAAACCTACCACAGATCATCTTTATCATCTGGTGCAGAAATAGACACCCAAAGCTCAGTCTTTCCTCCACACAGCACTGAGTCATTTTTGAAAGGCCATAATTATATAAAATTTCCATTCTCCCCCTGCATCTCTTCATTGCACAGGCAAAGAAGAACAAGCAGAAACAACCTTTGGTGACTTGTGGATTGCTCAGACCTGAAATGATCAAGTTTTGTCCTTTTCTCCCCCCCTCCCTTTTTCTTCTCGTTTCAGGTTATTCCAAAGCATAAGTTTGTGCTGGTGAAATTCGACACACAATATCCCTACGGGGAGAAACAAGATGAGTTTAAAAAGCTGGCAGAGAGCTCAGGCTCCAGCGAGGATCTTCTGGTGGCTGAAGTGGGGATATCAGGTGAGGAGCCCTGGGCACGTGGGGACAGTGTGGGCTGGTGAGGAGGAGATGAATCCCAGTGGGATTTCTGCTGAGAACAGGCTCTGAGGCGGTTCTGGGGGTGAGGGATGGATGTGAGACTGCCCTGGATGGTGGCTGAGCCCACTCTGTGTGGGAGAGCTGCTTTTCCACCTCAGCTGGGTAATGCAGAGTCAGCCCAGGCTGCTGAACTGCTGCCCCACCCTCCTCAGCCCCAGCACTTCTTCCCTCCCCCTTATTTTTTGTGCTTTCTTTGCCAAGAGAAACCTTTTGGTTCCATTTGCAGGGAAGAGACCTTACAAGAATCACTCCTTAGCCACGATCCTGGTCAAACAAAGCGTATTTAACATGATTAATTCCATGTAGAAGACGCCAGGGCAGCCCAGAAAGGGGTTGTTGTGCTGTGGGTGCTGTAATCGATGTGGTTGTAACTGGATTTAAGAGAGAAAAGCAGTGAAGAATAGAGCACTGTCACCTTACATGCTCTGGCTTTGTGGGTAGAATAAGAATTTAAGAGTGAATTGTCCACCTGGGAAGTTTTACCCACACTGATATTTCTAAGCAAACATGGAATCCTCTATGTAGGAGAATCAAAGTGTCTTTGCTTTCTGTCCTCAAGAATAAATGCTATTTATATAAGTAATTTATGTAAGATGGGTAAACATCTTGTAGCTTGGCATGCTGTCAGAACTAAATCATTCTTTGCACATGGACAGGAAGAAACCTATTTAACTGAAAACTCAGATAAAAGTAAATGGATAGAGGAAAACAAGGAAAAATTGGCTATTCATTTCCCCTAAGGAGGATGGGGTTTGTATGTAAAGATCCTGCCAATGTCTTATGCTCTGATAGTCACAGCAAAGCACCACTGGAATATTGTATTTTGCTTTGGAAAACCAAGTGATTTTCCAAGGTGGTTTTGTCTCAGTGTGTGGCATTTCCTTGGAACAGGCTCCACAGGGAATGGTCACAGCCCCAAGGCTGCCAGAGCTCAAGGAGTGTTTGGACAACGCTCCCAGGGACAGGGGGGGATTATTGGGGTGTCTGTGCAGGGCCAGGAGTTGGACTCAGTGATCCTTGGGTGTCCTCCCAGCTGAGGATATTCCATGATTCTGTGACTGCCTGGCAGACAGGTTGTTAGGACGTGTTGAAACTGGAGACAAGTGTTTGTGTAGGAGGGAATCCTAAACGAATTCTTGATTAACTGTGCTTCTCTGGGGCTTGTTCTCTGTCGACAGACTACGGCGATAAGCTGAACACTGAGCTGGGGGAGAAGTACAAGCTGGACAAGGAGAAGTTCCCTGTTTTTTACTTGTTCCAGGATGGTGACTTTGCCAATCCCTTGCTTTACGGTGGTGAGATCAAGGCCGGGGCAATTCAGCGCTGGCTGAAGAGCAATGGCATCTACCTGGGCATGCCGGGCTGCCTGAAGGAGTACGACGTCCTGGCCAGCAAGTTCATGGGCACCACTGAGAAATCTGAGCGCCAGGCCCTCCTCAAAAAGGGGCAGGAGAGCTTGGGGAAAGCTAAAGAAACCGAGAAGAAATCGGCCGAGCAATACTTGAAAATCATGAGCAAGATCCTGGAGCAGGGAGAGGAGTTTGCTGCTAACGAGGTCGTCCGAATCACAAAGCTGATCGAGAAGAACAAGATGAGTGATGGGAAGAAGGAGGAGCTCCAGAAAAGCCTCAATATCCTCGCTTCTTTCCTGAAGAAGAATAGTGAAAAAGATGAGCTCTGATGTGCCGGGGAACTTTGTGCAAGCTGTGAAATGTCAAAGAGTCCTAACCGGTTCTCCTTATGCAAGCAAACTTCCCGCTGACTTCAAGAGAGCAGCAGATTTCCTTCTGGTATTCTCAGTTTTTGGAAGATCAAGAGGAAGACGTTCCTTGAAAACGCAGTATTCTAAATGTTGGAAAAAAAAATCACCTAAAAGCAAGATAACAGTATTGTGTAATACTATCCAATAACAGTGTTAAAGCAGACAACAGCAAAAAAAAGTACTAGATTGGCCAGAAGCACATTCCTGGTGGTTTTTACAGCTGTTCCCTGGCAAACAAATAACAAAATTCAGTCTCACATTCCATCTTACATGTCGGAAAAGGTACAGATTGGGTGCCCTTTGTATCTCTACCTTTCCCTGTCCATGGTGTCCTTGGGTTTTATGCTCATTAATCTACCCCACACACACCTTTTGTTGCCCCAGTTGGGCTCCAAGTCTTGTTCTTACCTGGTGTTGACTAAGAGGCCTGGAGTTTCCTTTTTCTGCCTTCTCTTTCCATGGCTCCTCTCCCTGTTTGGTTTGGGTTTCAGCCAAATGCTGGCAGTGAAAACAGTTCCTCTTCATATCAGAACTTTCCCCTCATCTTCTGGCCAGAGCAGCCACTTCATCAAACGTTCTCCTGAAATCCTTTGTGGTACCCTGACAGCGAGTGATGTGAGCTCTGAGCAAGGGCAGAGTCTCCTTGAGGTGCTATTACACTCAGTCTCACCAGTTTGTGCAAAACTGCTTTTTCAGAGGTAAATTCGGGTGAGTTTTCTTATGGCTGGAGAGCACATGCGGTGCCTGGGTCTTTTACCTCTCCAAGCTTCATTGCCCAGGTTCAAAACGAGAAAGGTGAGACCAATAATGACATCTGAGGCATAGTTACATGAACAAAACATTTTCTCCAGCCTCCTGAAGCGATTGACACCGTCAGACTAAAGCTCCATCAGCGTTTGGTAGTTCTAAATATTTGAAAATGAGTTCTTGTAACAGGAAGCAGAAGTATTTGTGCCCTTAGAAGCTTCATCTGTTTTGTTTCAATGGAGATGCCTGGCCCAGGGATCAGGTGAGTGTTCAAAACTCTGGAATTCAGATGCCCCTGGAAGATGCTGAACCTCTGGTCAGGATTACAGAGAGCTGAAGAGAGAAACAACCTGTGTGTTTTACCTTCAAACTACGCTTTAAGCAAAACTGATTGCTGTGGGAGCTTTGCTGCCTTTTGAATCCCCGGGGGGTGGGTACAAGGAGCGAGATGTTACCGCGAGATAAAATGTATTAATAACACAATAATAAAAAGGTTCCAACTCAGAGCTGCTTCTTGGAGCTTTTTCCGGAGAAACCGCTGCCGATTCGATGGTCGGAGGGGAGGCCCTGACTGATCAGCCAGATGATGCTGGAGCTGGAAGCAAGAGGGACGCCCGGGAGATGAGGGGAAAGCGGTGTGTCCCTCGGGCCAGGAGGTCTCTCCCCCTCAGGACGGGCAGAGAAAGAATCCCTTGGGAGTTTTTGGCATGACGTGTGGAGACATGTTCCACCTGAGGCACTGAGAGGAGCAGGCCCTGAGGGAACCATCTCCTGGGGCTCTGAGGGGAACAGCCCCCACACGCTCCCTCAGAGCTTCGCTCTGAGGGGGCGTGTGGGGGGCTGTTCCCCTCAGAGCCTTCCGTCCCCTCAGAGCCTTCCTCGAAGCTCTTCCCCGCCCTCACGGCGAGGAGGTGCCGGGCTCCGCCCGCCCGGGGGCTCGGTGGGTTCTGGCGCCGGTTCCCGGGGCGATAACCCCGCTGTTCCCCGGGGGGCTCCTCAGCCCCTCCATACCCCCGGGCGCTCCCTCAGCCGGCCCTGCCGGGCGGGGGCGGCTCCCGGGGCGGAGCGCGGGCGGTGCCCGCCATCCCCGGAGCGGTGCGGCGGAGGCGGCGGGGGACCCATGGCCCTGCCGGCGGAGGCGGCCCGGCTGGACGGGGGCTGGCAGGAGGTGAGCGAGCCCCGCCGGCACCGAGACCCCTCGGGACCCTGCCGTGAGCGCGTCCCTTCTCCTCCGTCCCCTCCCGCTCCATCCCCAGCCCGCCGGCACCGGCAGCGCTGCCGCTCGCCTCCCCCGGACCCCCCGGTGATCAGTCCGTGCTGCCCGATCCTATCCGAGACCCCTCGGTCAGGGTCACCGGGACGTTCTGCTCCTCCGTCCCGGTCCCGGGCCGTGCTGCCCGCTTTCGTGTTCGGGATCCCCCGGTTCCCCCCGCGTCCGTGGCCGCCACCTGAGCTCCGTCCCGTCCTTCTTCCCAGGTCTACTCGGCGCTCCAGTGGATCCAGTTCACCATGGCCATGCTCAGGTACGACGCGCTGCCCCAGGAGTTACCATCGCAAAGGCGATTTTCTCGAAAAAAAAAAAAAAAAAAAAAGAAAAAAAAGAGAGAGAGAGAGAGAGGGAACTCGCGTACCCCGGCGAGGCAGACGCGCTCCTGTTCCAACCTGTGCTTTGTTTTCTCAGCGTTGTAGGTTCCAGCTCGATTATTGCCTACGCCGTCTTCCAGAACGCGGTGAGGTCCCCCGAGGTAAGGGCTGTGCCTCCCTCTCCCTCCCCAAGCCGAGCTGTCGGTCCCGTGCAGGTGGATCACCTTGGAGCAGCTGCGGGTCTCAGGGTTATGTGGTTAAACCTTGTTTAGCATCTGGGAGGCAGAGGGCTTTGCCAAGATTTTGGCTCTTTGTCCGTGATAGGAGTTGAAGGGGCTGACCTTGAACCGTACCTGTGCAAGGAGAAGCAGGTTCCTTAGCCTTGTGCTTTCTGCTGCTCGAGTTGTTCCTGAGAGCAGGGATTTGTTAATGTGCCTTCCTCAGTGGGACAAAACTCCTGGAGTGCTGAGGAGTTGTGCCCAAAGCTGCTGAAGTGCAAATTGGAGATGTGTCCGTGGAAATGCTTTTACAGGTGTTGGTCTTTGGGTATTTCCGAGGCGTTTTCCCTGGCAGGTGTGCTACTAAAGCTGATACAACTCAGAGATGCAACTGATAGAACTCAGACAAAAAAGGGCTGAAAAGCAGTTTGTTATGCCAGACTTTGCAGTGGGGCTTTGGAAGAGCCACCCCTGCCACGAACATTCCTAACGCTGAAGCTGTGGGACTCAGGTGCACACATCCCTTGGGGTGGGACAGCCTGCACCTGTGCTGCAGGTGGGACAGGAATGCAGTGCCTGGCACATCCTAAGGGCACCCCATACGCAGGTTAAGCAGGAACCTCCTGGGGCTGAAAGATACCTGACATGCCAAGCAGGTGTCTGGCACATGCACAGTATCCACAGGCATCCATCTCATCCTGCCGGGCTTGGATATCCACACACAGTCCCTCTGTGTGTCCCGGACTTCCCGGAGGTAGTGAGCAGAGCTAACCCCTGGGAAGCTGGGGTTTGGTGTCCAGGATTTGCAGGGAACAGGTTACTGTAAGAGCAGAGGGACAGTGGGGCTGCCAGCAGCTGTATCTGTCCTTCCCTCATCTTCACTGTTCTTTGTACATCGTGGGTTTGACCTGCAGCCCAGAGAACAGGATTTCCAGGGAATGCAGGGAGTTATCCCTGCAGAAGGAAGGGATGCAGGCAAGCTGGCAGCTGACACGTGGCTGGATGAAGCAGAGTGGGGAGGAGAACATGAGTCCAAGTTTGTAGGGCAAATCTGCCCCCATTACAACACAGAGGAGTCTTTCCTCCTGGAAGTGCTCTGCCCAGAAGGAGCTGTGGAGATCTCTGCATTCCCAGGGAAAAATGAAGTCTGGGACTTCACCTTAGTGCTGGGATGGAAACCCTGCCTGAGCTTCTGCACATCAGAGGCTCCTTCTACCACATCTCCTGCACCAGGAGAGCTCCAGATGTGGTTCTCTCCTGGGGTCCTCTACTCTGGAAGGATGCAGAGCTGGCTTTGGCAGGTGTCCTGGTGTGACTCAGCAGCCTCTTCCCGTTACTCCCATGGCCAGAAGCCTGGTCACTCAGGACCCTTCTGCTCTCTCCTGGTCATATGATGAGGCTGTGGCTTGGGAGCTGCTCGTGAGCCACACATGGCTCCAGGTCACAGATGGGCCCTTCCTGCTCGAGGGAGTGCAGATGTTTCTGCTCAGATTATTGCTGCAAATCCGGGTGGGAGGGGTGGGTGCCAGCTGGAGGGACTGCTCTGCACAGCCCTCCAGGCTCCTGTGCTGCTGCCAGGGGGGGAGATCTGCTGCTGGGCTTTCGGAAGCGACACAATCTTCGGTAACTTCCCCATTGCCTTGTCCTCATGTTTCTGGTCTGCGGTGGAAGTTTGTAAACAAAGGGGCTGGAAGAGATCCATATCAAAGCTTGCCACAAACATATTCCCCGAGTCATGAGGACCCACAGCAAAACGTTTAAAAATAAACAGCTCTGGAGCCTGGGAGGAGAACCACGTTAGAAACACTTCCCCTCCTGCCCCCAAGAAATCAAATACTGCCTTCTTGAAGCTTTTCTGCCTTTAGGGGGTCAGTAAAACTCTTCAGCCTGAGCTGAATCATTCAGAAGAAACCTCAGGTCAACGAGTTGAAGGAAGAAACCTCAGCTCACCATGCGGCTGGGTGATGGCCACAGAGCCACATCACCCTGCGTGCTCCGGCCTGGCATCTGGAGCTGCCAGGATGGAAATCGTTACGTCTTTCCAGTCCCTTCCTCTATTTTATAAATACCATTTGGTATTTGCTTTCCCCTTTTGCGAGTCAGAACCAAACTGCCTTCGCTTATCACTGTCACCTACTTCTTTAGTCAGGTCTGGGCCAAAACTCCTCGACCAACCAGTGGTTCCTCGCTCCAAGGGCACTTGTTGCTGGAGAAAGGGGTCACCTGTTTGATTGCAAAAGTTGCTTCTTTGCTTATTTTAGAGCTGTTTAACCTGCCCTGCTCACAAACTGGGTGGTGTCCCCAGCCTGTCGTGCCAGGGCTTCGGTAGTGCACCAGCAATGAAAAAGCCTGGTTAAAAAAGGCATTTGTAAGTGAAATTATATAAGTATTAACTCCAGATATTTGTGCCATTATGCCCCAAGGGCAAATGTGGCTCAATTAGATCCACCTCACATCTTATCAGTCTTACTAATCTCTTTCTCATTGCTCGTGGGACTGAGGATAACACGGTACGATGGGTGGCAAATATTTACTTCCAGGACAATATTGAGGCACATCCCACCAGAAGCTCAGTTCCATAGGAAAAAAAATAAATATATAAACCCACAGCCTCTTGAAATGCTTCCATGCTGTGTTTAACATTATAATTTCCTGTAGGGAAAGGAAATCCACCATCATTTTCTCTCCGGGATGCTGAGAATGAGGTACCGAAGGCTACAATTAACAATGTAGATAATCAGGCTGCTTTTCCAGAGCGTCTGCTCTCCCACTAACGACAGAAATGTTGGCCAGACTTTTGCACAAATGTTTTCCTGCAGTGTTTACAGTCCTGGCCAGTGCTTGCAAACTGGAAATGGGCTGGAAACTGCTGTTAAAGGAGACGTGACTCTGTTTCAGCTCTCAGTGGAAGTTAATCTGGCGTGTGACAGGGACCCAGCCAGAGTCACCAACTGCAATGACATGGGACACAGGGGAAAGTACCTGTTTAAAGCTATTTCACGTCTGAAGAAGGGTTTGTGTTTGCCAAAAGTTTAATTTCTCTCTGAGTTGATTTAAAACATAACATCTCTTCTCCCAGCCAGCCTGTCCCGTTCTGCAGGAATTGTGAAATTATGGATATTTGAGTTATTTCCTGTAAGTTTTGATGCTGCTCTTGGATCCCAGTGGCAGAAAGGGTGGTCAGAGCAGGGGATGTGCATTGGAACAGCTCCTGAGAGCATGAATTTGTGTGGCTTTTGTCTGCAAGGGGAGTTCACCAGCAGAGCAGGGGGATAACAGTGTTCAGATAACACCTGACAACCTGATGTATTGATGTCCTTGCTTGGTTGATTAATTTGAGCACGATTAATCTTTCTACTAGGAAGTGGTACAGTCATTTTAAAGGACTGAAAACAAGGATGATATTTAGGAGTAAAAGTTGAATTATTTCCATCTGGTAACTTTTCTTTAAACTCCTTTGGCTGTGAAAGTAAAAGAGACTTTTTTGCATGAAGCTTTCAAGGTTTGCTGCAGTTAAATTGACTCTCAGAAACTTTCCCACAGTGCTTCCCTGAGGGTGAAATCATCCCTCTACAAAGTGCCATTCAGACCCCACTTATCCTTAATTAAGGCTTCCAAATTAAGTTTGCAGTGGGACACTGGCCTTCCACTGACACTCCTTCCTGCAGAGAAGGCTTTGGAAGGCTGTGTTTGGTGTCTGTATGGCTGACACAAGGTAAAGCTGCAGCTGTGGGCGGGTGTGGGAGTGCTGTGATGCCTCTCCCACCTGTTGAGCCTTTTCCCTTTCCCCAGGTGCGTCCCCTTTTCTACCTGAGCCTCTCCGACCTGTTTTTGGGAATGTGCTGGCTGGCTGGGGCTCTGCTCTACAGCTCACCCACCTCCCAGCAGGACCTCATCTGCTACAACCTGCAAGCAACGGGACAGGTAAGTGTCCCTCACCCTAACCCTGTGGCACCACATCCCTGCTGGAACGGTCATTGGCCGTAATTAACCCTTCTGGTGGTCGGTGTGGCCGTGGGGGCCGTTTACAGACAGGTTTTTGGCAGAGGCTCCCTGTGTGAGCTTGACTTACTGATCTCTTGGCTTCGTGTGGAAAAGGAAGATAGTGATGTTTGGGTTTAGGACCCTCTGGTGTGGGAGAGGCCGTGAGGAAGGCAAAGAGATCATGGGATTTTTGTGGCTGCTTGTGTGAAGCGAGTGGATGGGGCCTGATCTCCTTCCTGCTGGATCTGTGCCCAGGGTGATCTCTGTGCCTCTCAAAGAGCAGATTTTCTTTTCCTCTTCGTGCTTCCTCCAGCCTGGGCAGGAACAGACACATCCTGGGACTCAGTCGAGCTCGGATTCACAGCATTACTCATCTAAACATCCCTGCTCTCGGTTGCTCTTCCCAAGGATGCTCAGGGGCTGCTCCCTCAGCACAAGCTCAGCCCTGGGGATTCAGCTGCTTTCCAGCTGATTCCCTGTGCTGGAGACTGATTGGAGCAGGGGGAGTGAACACCATTTTCCTGACAGTTTGCTTTTGCCTCACCCAGCTCCCTTTTCAGCATTAGGCTTTGGAAATCACTGCTCCAAAACCAACCCTGCAGGATCCAGAACTGTGCCGAGCCTGGGCCAGGCTCACCAGTGGAGATCCATGGGATTAACAACTTCCTTTTAAAGAACGTGGCTGGGAAGAGCAAGGGGCTTTGGGGAGCCTTGATGTGTGTTGTGTGGGCTCGGGAAGCTCCCTGGGAGCGTGGTGGGAACTGAATATCCTCACTGAGCAGCAGCAGCAGCAGAAGCCAGAGGGGATCTCTGGGTGCCTTGGAGAGGGCAGGGAAGTAGCTACAGGTGTGGAATGGAGTTGTTCCCGCTGTTTTGTGTCTGGGCATGGGTTCCTGCAGCCCAGGGGTGTTTCAGCAGCTGTTTTTGTGGGTGTAAGCACGTTCCTGAGGCTGTTGAGAGCAGCTGTTCCACTCCAGGCTCATCTCTGGTCTCTCCAGCTCCGCTGTGGAGGCTCTGCAATGTGTTCATGTTGAGAGATGAAACAGTGGGATGTGGGTAACTTGGCCTCTTGGGAATAGTGCAGAACAGCATCAAAGGTGTTTTCAAGGTGATGGTACAGGGGAAGATGAGGAGAGCTTGGGAAAGGCTTTCCAGAGCTGAAAGGTGGAAGGAGCAGCTGGGACTGAAGGTGTTCCTGAGCTGTTTCCCCTGCCTGGGGACAGTCCTTGATGAAGTGTGATCTTTTTATGGCCTGGAGATGGCAGGTTGCACTGCTGGAGGAAAAATAGGTTGGATACAGACAATATGGCATCATTTCTCAGCTCCCATGCACTTCTGGCTGTTTCTGCCCTCCCTTTTCCAGGCAGGGACCAGCACAGGATGGGGGCAAGGTGGGAGCTTGGTTTTCATGCTGGGTGAGCAGAACTGGCCTTGGGTTAGTCCTTCCAGGACAGGGGACAGTCAGGGTGCTGTGGGGGGGTGTGCAGGGCCACATCCTGACCCCAGCCAGTGTCACCAGGCCCCTCTTCCGTGTGCCACTCCAGTCCCCCCTGGCACAAGGACTGCCCCGCTGGCAGAGCCGGGTTGTGCCTGGCAAGAGCTGTCACTGCTGTTTGCTCTGGGAGAAATGAAAACAAATGGAGCACTTGCCATGGCAACCTGTCCACAGGGAGCACTGACTGAGCAGGACACCCCACCCCACACCCCCCTCTGCCCTTGGGGGCGGTGGGAACACCTTGTGCGTAGGAAGGAGCCGGGGAGAGGTTCAACCAGCAACTTCTGTGGAGCAGAACCCGCTGGAATGAGCAAATAAATGTCTCACAGGGTGCCTCATAAACACACGTGGCTTCCCTGCACACCAGCACCTAGAAAATGTCAGATGTCAGAGGGTGAGGATGGGCAGGGAAGGCTCAGCAGGGTGTTTGCAGCTGGCAAAGGAGAATCACACGGGGTCTCTGGGATGTCCCAAGGCATTGCCTCAGGAGCAGGACAATCTTCTGCCTTATTCAGGCTGTTTGCCCTCAGTTTATCACCACGGGCTGGTGTTGCAGTGGATGGAGCTCACCAGCATCCCTAAAGGAGGAGATTGCTTTGTTTCTTGGTTTTTCCCTGTTTCAGCCCCAGAGCTTTGCTTGATATTAGTGTAAATAGTGCTCCCTTTGCTGTCCCTTGACGTTGTTCTGTCCTCCTCCCTGCCTTGCCTCTGTGTTACAATAATACAGTGCAGAATAAAGATTGTGGTTCTAATTGCACAATCCCCCCACGTTCTTCCAGTTCAGTTCCAGTGGCCTCATAATGTCCTGGCAGGCTCTGCCCACGCTGGGGAGCACAATGGGAGCCACACAAGTGGGATAATGAGGGACTCTGGTGCCTCTGCTCTATCTCCTCGTGGGAAGTGCTGCAGGATTATTCACCAGCCCCAAAGCTGGGGCTCAGGGAAGCAGAATTCCCTTCACTTCCCCCAAGGGGCGTTTGGTTCCCTCTTCCAAACCAGAAGGCAGTACTGGCATTTCTTAAGCCCCAAGTGCAAGACAGCAATACTTGTGGACTGTTTTGATGACCTTCCCTGGAAGTAATTGAAAAAGGGCAGCAAACCCTCATTAAAGCTCATTTAATGAGCTGGAAAGTCACTGCAATGTTCCCGCTGCAACGTCACAGCCCCTTGGCCTCGGCCCCTCGAGCCGGCCAAGAGCATTTGCAGCCTCCAGTGAAGGAGGCCAAGTTTGTTTAGTGACTCCTTTCCCAGACGTGGATGGTCCCAGGGTGGCAAACCTGTGCTCCTTATGGTTTTGGCAGAGCAAAGAAATTCCCTCGTCCAGCCCTTCCTCTTGGCCTCTGCCACTGAAGTGTGTGTTTCCTGGAACACACAGCACGTGTGTGGACATGGGCTGAGCAGGCAGCCTGGAGCAAACACGGGTTTGAAAATAAAGGGGATAAAGATCTGGGAGGTTTCTCAGGAAATTTTAGATATTTGGTCTCGTCCCAGGCTGTGGAACTCTCAGTGGGAAACGGTGTGCTCTATCTTTTCTCTCCTTTTTTTTTTTTGTTGTCTTTTTTTTCCCCCACAGAGAGAAAAGGGATTTTGGGATGTTAATTCAGGCAGATATTCTCTGCCCTCACTTTCCTCTTTAAATATCCCATTGTTTTGTGTTTCCGTGAATTCTCAGTGTAGGGAGCTCATTATGCAAAAATCTAAATGTCACATCTGGGCTGTTTCCTAATGGATGTAGCACAGGGAGGCTCCAAGTGCCACTGAACCTGTTGTTGCCAAGATTTGGGCCAAAAAATGAGCCAAATCACAAAGATTTGTATTCCTAAGACAGCCCTGCTGTCCTCAGCTGTCCTGTCCCCTGCCTGAGGGCCAAGTGAAGCTGCTTTGTGAGGTTTAAAGTGGGAACCTCCCCTCAACCTGGCTCTTCCCAGCTGGATGTGAGCACAGGGGTTGTGAAGGATCCTCACCTTTGGCAGATGTTTCTTCCTGCCTTCTGTTCCACAGGCTTTGGGTCACCAGTGAGGACCTAAATGTGCTACAGAAACTGTTCTTACGGGACTGAAATGTCTGTATTTCCCAGGTATTCTACGTGGCCTCTTTCCTCTACACTGTCAACTACACCTGGCACCTGTACATGGACCTAAAGGTGAAGTACAACCAGAACCTCTTCAGGGTGCTCCCCCAGGTGAGTGGGACTGATGTGGAGCAACAGTTGGGTGTCCAGGTCTGACTGTGGGGCCTGGTGGGACGTGGGGGCTGCACACAGAACATTTCACTCACCACAAGGACCTTGGAGGCCCTTCTGCCCCGTGGCTGCATGAACTGGTGTGTCCCTGAGGTCAGCAGAGTCACTGCTGGGTCTGTGAGGGCATCTCAGCACCAGGGGTTGGGGAAGAAGTTGGCAGAGCAGGGTTTTGCAGCAGCTGAATGGCTGGTTTGGTGCTGTCCCTGCCCTCTGCCAGGGCACAGCAGAGGGACAGGAGAGCAGGGGGTGCCTGCACAGCCTGGGACTGAGAACTGGCAATTTCTGTCCCCCTCAGGTGTCACACTCAGGAAGGGTTTGAGATAGAAAAAACTGGTGGTGGCAGGACCTGCTGGCTCGGGGAGCAGGGGCCAGTCCTCACTTCATCATCCTTGGCCTTTCCCAAAGCCCTCTGGGCACCAGTGCAATCGCTGGGAGCTGAGGAACAAGGACACAGCACTCAGGAAAACACTCCCTGCACTGCAGGCTGAGCAAACACTTCACACACCTCATGACCAAAATCCTCCCTGCAGTTGTTTCCCACCTCACTCCTGGCTGAACAGGGAGGCACTGTGACTGCTGTGTGGCTCCCTGGGTATTCCTGCAGGATGGAATATTCCTAATGCAGCTCATCCCATCAGACTGCCCCAGACAGCCTCTTCTTCCCCAGACATTTGCTTTGTGTCCCAGGTATTCCATCTGTCAGTTCAGGAGCAGCAGGCTGGGCAGGTCACTCCAAGTTTAAAGGGGTTTTATCCACTTAGAGGACTGGATTCCTTCTTTTTGGGCTCCCACCCCTGCCATAATTCCCCACCCACCAGTGTCCCACAGTGGGTTGATGCTGCTGGGTGGGTCCCACTGCCCAAGCATGTTTCCTGGTGAGCAGACACCAGGACACTCCAAACTGCCCCAATTTCTTCACCAGAACATGAAGTTTCTGAGGAGCAGGACCAAGTGAAGTGAATCAACAGTGGGAAAAAAAAAAAAAAAGCCAGTCCCACCAGAGAGCTCATCAAGTCTCTGCTCCCTGTGCAGGTCCAAGTTCCCTTCTCTGCTCCTCCTCCTGAAGCAGAACAGGACAGTCAGCGAGGGTTGACTCCGTTCCAAATCAGCACAGCCTGAACTTGGCCGTGTTGACTCAGTGCAGAGTAGAACCAAACATTTGTCCTGGGGATTAATCAGCATTTGAAGGACCCTCAGCTGCTGAAATGCTCCCTGGGAGCTGGTTCCTGTGGACCAGGGGCTGTGCAGGAATGATGGTTTCATTAAACTCCTCGGATTTTGCAGGTTGTGGATTATGCGAGTTGTGTCGGCCGGATAGCAACGATCTCGTCGAGGTGAGCTTTAATTCTCCCTGGCAGGATGATGTGGGTTTGGTAAGGTTTAGTTCTCCCTCTCCCTGGCAGGATGAGGTGGGTTTGGTAAGGTTTAGTTCTCCCTCTCCCTGGCAGGATGATGTGGTTTTGGTAAGGTTTAGTTCTCCCTGGCAGCATGATGTGGTTTGGCAAACTGCAGTGTGCTGATCTCTGCTTCCTTCTTGTTTTGAAGCAAGTTTTACCAAAACCTGCAGAGCTCATCATTAACAGCAGAGTGACCTCACAAACACAGAGTAAGAGGTTTTTTTTTTTAACCAAGTTAATCCTAACTTTATTAACTAGATGTGGTTTTCCAGAAGGTGCTCCCTTTACCAATGATTAGCCCTCACGAATGAAAGCACCGATGTTGGTAAAGCCGATAAAATACTTTGCCAGAGCAATGTCAACAAAACCAACTTTGAACTCCTCTGTAGTGACAGGAGAGAAACCGAGTGGTGTTTGCTGGGGGTGGGATGGAGCAGTGCAATAACCAGTGGCTGTGCTGTTGTCCTGTCTCCTCTCAGCCTCATCCCTTTCCTCCTCATGGTGCCGGTGTTTTGCCTGGGCAACAGCAGTAATTGCTACCAGAACTTCAGCCAGAAGCACGGGTGAGCCTCAGCCCCTCTGACACAGCCCCAGGGCTGCCGGGGCAGGGCAGGAGCTCAGGCTGTCCCCTTTGTCCCACAGCTGTCTCCTGATGCACACGGAGATGGCCGTGACCACCAGCGAGCCGCAGAGCCTGAGCGGCTCCGTCTGCCGCGCGATGCATTTCTACGGCATCGGGGTCTTCCTCGTCTCCTTCCTCATCAGCTTCCTGGCCATTCTGGTAAGAAACAGCGGCCTTTGCATCCCTGCATCTTTGCTTGGGTGGCACCAGAGGCCAGGCTGTCACATGGAGTGGTTTGGGTTGGAAGGGACCTTAACGCTCATCCAGTCCCACCCCCTGCCTTGGGCAGGGACACCTTCCACTAGCCCAGGTTGCTCCAAGCCCCAACACTTCCATCACTTCTACCACCTCTCTGGGCAACCCCTCCCAGGGTCTCACCACCCTTTCTCCCCCACATCCCATCTTAAACCTCCTCTCTTTCAGTTTGAAGCCATTCCCCCTTGTCCTTCCACCACACGCTCTTGTAAATACGGCAGGGGAATAACTTTGTGCTGCTGCTTCCCTTTTGGAGGGGTGGTAGGGGAGGGAAAATAGCACTGTGCCACCACATCAAATCCATCTGGAGTCCTGTGATCTGTCAGCCCATCCCAAAAAGGATTTAGCAGGTAGAGGGCTCTGCTTGGCAGCAGAGTTCACCTACTGCATAGTGAGCAGGAGGTGATTAATGTTTGGACTCCATGATCTTGGAGGTCTTTTCCTTTTTGATTTTATGATTCTAAGAGTCCAAATCAATGCAGAGTCTTCAGTTTAGAAAAGGTCACGTGCAAAGCAACATTTCCCCCAGGATTGCTCCCACTGTTGTGTGAAAAGGCTGGATGAACCCCAGCTCTCAGCCCAAACACCACCATCTGCCTGTTCCCTTCCAGGTGATCCTCAGCCAGGCTCGAGGTCTGTACAAGAGGTTTGTGAACTCCACAGGGTTCCTGGGGGACCAGCAGTGGGCCATGATTAAGATGGTGGAACAACGAGTGGTCTTTTACCCCGTCGTGTTCTTCTGCTGCTGGGCCCCAGGTGAGCAGAGAGCTGAGTTCCTCCCACAGTGTTCCCCTGGGGAACTCCAGAGAGGTGGGGTTAAAGCAGCACCTTCTTCTCCTTCCCCATTCCCAGCTGTCCTCCTTGGAATGCTGAAGTTGACTCTTTCAACAACCAGCAAGATCTACATGGCCCTGCTGATCCTGCAGGTAAATCTCTGCCCCTGCGGCCTCCCAGGCTTTGCCTTCTCACTCCGAGCCTCCTAATCCTGAGTCTGGTCCCAGCTGGAAGCAGCTGGACAAGGAAGGGGAGCCTGAGTCTGCTCTGTGCTTCTGGTTGGCAAAGATCTCTGTTGGGGGATTTATGTGGAAAGGTCTCAGTGACCAAAATCCAGCGCCGTGAGGACACGGTGCAGTGGAGAACATGGTGCTGGTGCTGGGGTGATCTTAAAGGTCTTTTCCAACCTCAACAATTCTATGATCATGGAAATTATAGCAAACAGGACTAGAAAGGATCCCCAGAAACCAGTTTGGGTTTTTTTCCCCTCTGTCTCCAGGTTTTCCCTGTGTCCCTAAGTCTCCAAACACTTTTCCAGCTGCTTCTTGTGGACTGAGACAGAATTTAGAAATTGTGTTATATTATATAATTATTTAAAATGTTATATATATATATGAGATATTAAAATGTATTTCTGGAAAATACATTTGTATGGGTTTATCTCTAATTAGATATTTATTAACTATTTATTTTAAAAAATCATGAGATTGCTCTGTCACACAGGGGGTGCAGGTGAATAAAACCGTACTGGAAGCGGGAGGTTTTCCAGGCTGGCAGGGAGCTCAGAGCACTGTGCAGGGCTGCATTCCAGGAGCCCTGATCCCTCTCTCCCTATGCTTTCTCCCAGGCTCTCACAGCAGCTTCCCAGGGGCTCCTGAACTGCCTGGTGTACGGATGGACCCAGCACGTGTTCCTGTCCCTCAAACGCGGCGCCCGCCGGGACGTGGACACCCAGACCCCCCTCCTGCGCTCCCAGAAGAAGTTCTACTCCAGCACAGCCCCCACCAGCCCCCCAGACACTGAGGGCTCCACGTCCACCCTGCTCTGAAGTGTCCTGCCAACTCCTCCTGGTGTTTTAGGAATGTCAGCCAGCCCGGGATGGGGCTGTCGGCTCCGAGCTGTCCCAGCCGTGGGGATGGAGGAGCCCGAGCGGGGCTGTCAGAGACACTCAGTGGAGATGATGGTTATTTATTTTACAGGTCACAGGGACTCTAAATGGATTCTTTCAACATGGTAAATCTCTAGTCCAGACTTTCTGCTTCTGGAAATATCCCTAGAAGTGCAGCAGATGGTGTGTAACAGCTCAGAGGTCTCAGCCAGCTCCAGCAGAGGATGTTTTACTTCTCCAAGTGTTTGTCTTATTTCTTGAAGTATTTGCCATTACAAATTAACAGTAAAGCAAAGTGAATATTTTTCCTATCTCTGACTTTGAATTCACTATAACCATGAGAACGTGCACCATACTAAGAGCCAACGGCAGGGAAACACAAAAACATCAGTGCTCACTTCCATGCCTGGAATTCTGCACATTTCCCTTCTGTTCTTCGTGCCAACCCCTGCTCAGCCACAACACTCACAAAAAAGCAGCTTCTTCAGCCCTGTGGAGCATCACGAACCAGGTGAGCAGGATTAAATCTGAATCTCTCTCTACATTTCCAGATGCTCAAGTGAATTATTTACTGAGGTCCCTTCATTACTACAGAAAATAAAAAAATATCTTTAGCTGGGTTGAAAACAATTCCCTTAATTTACACTCTTCATTTTCTAACAGCTTCACTTTTTGGGTCTAACCCAAATTTTTCACAGAGCAGGTTATACAAGAAGAGGAAATACTCCAGTTTTGTGTAATTAACTTACACAACTGTGTAAACTGTGTGTCAGTCACACAACGCCCCCGGTGTTCTGGTCAATGACTGGTTTTCTCTTACAGAGTGAGGCTGAGCAAAACAATTCAATTTTGCTGTTCCACAGGATAAAAATCTGCATCCAGAGCAGTTTTAACGAGTCCTCTGCAGCTGGAGGTCGATGCCAGTGCCTGAGAGCAGCTTTCCACTGCTGCCACGGGAAGCCCCACAATGGGAGTTTTAACTCTCAGCAGCTTTTGAGGCATCTTCTTCCACCTGCTCCTTTAAATCCTCCTCAGGAGCCCGTTCTCCAGTCCCAAGGCTCAGCCATAATGGCCCCTTGGGAGCCACAGGTAAACACGGGGAGGTTTGATATTGCAAAGCCTCTCTGCCCGAGGTGAGGGGTGTGATTTACCCCCTGGTGACACAGGACACTTCACCCGGGCTGTTTCTCCCTGCCTTGGGGACAGATTTCCTTGGAATGCCTGTCCTGTAGGCTGTGTAGCCCCAGGAGTTCCAGGGGGAGGATGGGACCTATTCCCTGGCACAGGGCCATGAGGAAGCAGCACATCAATCACCCCCCTCTCCTCCCTGACCCCGTTTGGGGACAGCAGTGACAGAGCCAGTGCAATTTGGTTAAAAGGGGATTAAGGCTTCAGAAGTGGGAAGTGATGGAAGATTATCTGGGAAACAATGCCAGGATTGCTAATGGAGCTTCAGCTGTGGCAGTGAAAGCCCTTAAGGGCTGCTGACAGCCCCTCACGAGCTCAGCACATCACTCAGGGTTTGTTTGAGGGGAGTTCTTCTTGCTGGACAGGGAAGGGCATTCCTTGGGCCGCCCATCCTGCTGGGAGTAGGGCAAGAGTCCTTTTGTGGCATTTCTGGAGAGCACTCCCAGCTGCTCTGGCTGCCTCAAGTGCTCCCAGGACATTGTTCTCTCATTCCCTTTCCCGGCCTGGATGCTCCAACCCACCAAGTCCTCCAAGGCACCGAGCAGATGGATGTTACCTCTCCCTGAGATGCCCTGAGGTCAGGACACTGAGGTCACTGTTGTGTCCAGAAGGGTGAGGAGAAGCACTCCAAGCTCCTTGGAAAAGCCCAGGGCCAGGCTGAACACAGGCCAGTCCACTTCTCATGGACCAGCAGCTCCCAGTCCTGCCATGGGTTCCACCAGGGCTCCCACTTCACCCACCTCCAGAACAGCCCCTGCACTGATCACCATCCTGCAGGAAGTGCTTCCCAGCTCCAGTGGCACTGAAATGGCACGGAAATTCCTAGGGATTTATCCAGCCCAGCCTGTCAGTCATCCCTTCATCTCACAAAATGTAAAGCCAAGGGTTTATTCCCACTGGTGAGGGAGGTGGGATCGGGGCTGAGCATGGCAGGAGAGGGCTGGGGAAGGAGGAGCAGGAGAATAATGGGATAATTAAGGTTGGAAAAGCCCTCTAAGACTGAGCCCAACATTCCCCCAGCATCCCACATTCACCACTAACCCCTGTCCCCAAGTGCTGCATCCACACACCCTCTGGGCACTTCCAGGGAGAAGTGGGGCAGGAGAATAATGGAATCCTTAAAGATGGAAAACCCTCTGAGTCCAACCATCAACCCACCACCACCCTGTTCACCTCTAACCCATGTGCCCAAGTGCTGATTTACCCCCTCATTTACCACCCACACACCTTCTGGGCACTTCCAGGGAAAAGCAGGAGAACCCCAGAGCTGTCCTTCCTCCCTCCTGCCCTGCAGCGATTTGGGAAGCAAACAAAAGCAGGCAGGAACTGTTGAGTTTAGTAAAATCCTTTATATACACCGAGGGGGAATATTTACAATATAATACTGATCCCAAAGGAACTACCAGGGAACACTGAGGAGAGAAATGAGAACATCTCAACACACAGAAGTCAAACGTGGGGACAGACTGGGATTGCCAAAATGCAAACCAGGAGTAAATGACAGCAAAACTTGGACGTGTTGCTATTGCCAACCAAAACCTCTTTTGCCCAGCCAGGTTCTTCTGATTTTTTAACACAGATATAAAAGCTTAAAATAATCAATCACAGGAGAAGTCAGATATACATCAAATTTGGAAAAGGTCAAATGATTTCAGAGATTTTTTTCTTCACTGAAATAAAATGCTAAAGTAAAAAAAAAACCCAAACCAAAAAACCTACAGAGCTTTCCCACGTGTTTTTAGTGTTTGTACAAAGTCTTCTTTGATCCCATACAACCCTTCCAGCTCCAGGTATTTACAATGTTCACAGTCTGCCAAAGAGGATCAGTAGATTTATCACCAAGTAAAACCTTACAGAATCAAGACAAGGTGTCCTGCATTTGTGTCAACTGAGAAACAAAACAAAACACAGGAAGGACAAAGTCAAATGCTACTTTAAAATGTGAAAAGGAATCCATTCAAGTGTTTTGAACTCTGAAATGTAAAACTTAACTTTTCAAAGAGACAAAAAAAAAAAAAAATCCATTTTCTCATAGAAATAAAACCATTTGACCTCGAAGCTTCAAACTGTGTTTTCTTAATCTGTCCCTCCTCCCTCTGCTTCAGATCAGGCTTTTCTTACTTATCCCAGACAATAAAATTAAAGTAAATGCATAAAAAGCAGTTCTTTGTGACAAAAATTCCAGTGCTCACCCTGGGAGTAGCTCCAATCTGATCCATCTTTCCTGCCAACTTCTGTCTCCCACAAAACTGCCTGAGGGTTTCCCCCTTGGAGGGCAGAGTCACAAAGTGCCTTTGGAGGGAATTTTCTGCACTCCTGTTCAAACACAGGTGATTTCCCTGTTTCTATCTCTATTTGCCACACTTAACACCTTCAATTTCCCTGAAAAAATCCACAGATTTCAAGTTAAAAGTGAAACCACTTCTTACATTTCCAGACTTGGGTGGATGCTGACACGACCTAGAATGAGAGCAAGGACAGAAATGCACATCACAGGCCCTGCAAAGTTGCTGACACAACCAAGAAGTGACAAATATTCTTGTTTCTTGTTAATTCTCTCTCAGTTTTCAAGGACAGGTCAGTGCACAAATATCCCCCATGGTGCCAGAGGTGCAATCCTGGCCCACACAAACACTCCCTGCTCCCATCACAGGGATGGTGGAACAGGGACTGTTCTTCCTCTGCAATGGAAAATGAGACCAGGATTGAAGGAAAGCTGACAAGGTGCAGACAGAGAAGGTGAAATGAAGCATCTCCTTCACGTAGAAAAACCGAATCACCCCTTACAAAACTGTACAGAAAGAGTCGGACACTGCTCTGCCACCAGTTAAAGGGAGTTGGGCGTAGAAAAGAGACAACAAAGAACTGCCCTAAGAGAGAGCTGGGGGGTTCATGGCTCAGGTTTGTGATGTAAACCCAAAAGGGAGGAGCTCTGAAACACAACGGTCAAAGTCGTTACTCGTAGCCCTGAATTGGCACTTCAGCACAGACCAAACTCACTCGGTGTCTGCACAGGGTTTGGTACCAAAATACCCCTAGAAAAAGCCTCCACCCAGTCCCAAAAGAAAGAAAAGCAGCCAAAGGTAGAAAACTAGAAATATGTACAGATTCTGTCCATTTGTTTGCTTCGCTGAGGTTAAAAAAAGCAGCTTTTGGAGCCAATGTTCCAGACTGGGGTAAGAACCTGCCCTGCAAAGGGACCTGTGGGAAGGAGCAGCCCTGGAGTTGTGGCTCCCCCAGAAAGGAGCTCGAAGGCATCAGAGAAATGGGAATTTGGGCTCTGGAGGGGACACAGGACATGAATCCCTGGGGGCTCCCACAGCAGCACTGGGACCCTGGCCAGGATAACCCCTCAGACAAGAGGAAGAGCCTAAAACTGAGAGCTGGATCTCCTGGAAGGGAAAGGATGGGAATACAGGGGTGGATCCCACACAACTGGGGGCTGAAGGAAACAAACCCAACGCTGGGTCTTGTCCACAGGAGATCCCACCGTGAAAATAAAAACAACTCATAGTAAGAACTCGAACATTCTTCTGTTCTGCTGTTGGAGGTGAGAAAAAGGAGTTTTATGCTGAATTCAGCCTTAAAAAAGGTCTGAGGAAAATGAGGAGGGAGAAAGAGAGAGGGGAGAGCTTCGAAGGAGGTCTGGGGAAGATGGGAAGGAGACAAAAAAAGCAGAGTTACTGCTCAGAACTGAAAATTCCAGCAAGCACATGGACTCAGGTGCCCTGGGCAAGGCCAAGGGGGCTCTCAGGGCACTGAGCCACACTGAAGGTTATTTAATTCAGTTGCCTCTACCTAAAGAATCAGAATTTAGGTGCCAAGAGCAGCTATGAATTTGTGTTTCACAGCACTTGCTTCAGGTACTCACTGAGCAGGGGGTTAAACTGTGGCTCTTGTTCTCATACACAGTCACTGCAGTGCTGGATGGGGCAGATGGAAGCAGCTCCTGCAACTGGTTATTAAGAAAAAGAATGGTCTTTAGCAATATAATCCACCCCTTTTGGGGCCCTCATGATTAACAGTACATAAGTGATCGTAGAGACCTCAAGGAACTGAGTTTTAAAAAAATATTACAGTACCAATGATTTTTTTTTTTTCTTTTTTGTATCTACAACTATACAGCATTTTCAAGCAGTATGGAAATTTAATGAAATAATTATGATTTATTAATTTACATAAAAATACTTTTTACAGTTAAAGAATAAATCTTAAATGGTAAAAAAAATAAGATTAAGAAGCTCCAGCTATTGAGAGTCGTGGGAGTTTGTTTGCTCTTCGATGACTTGTTTGACGATTTCTGCCAGTTTTAGTCGATCCACTTTGTCTGTGAATCCTCTGCCTGCAAGGGAAAGGACAAGGAGTCAGGTGCTGGGAACAAGGGAGGGAGGAAATCCTGGCTGGAGTTAAACAATGTTTGTCCACA